TGTTATTTAACTCGATTGGCGTTAAAGATGATCGCATTAAAAGTCGAAACGCGCGTCTGTGTAATTTTATTATTGATTTATCATTATATATTCATTAATTTGTGATGCACATGTATTAGCAGTTTAACTCTTTTCTCTTTCTCTCTTTCTTCTTATCCTTTTTTATATTTACATAGATTATTAATCTTATATGATTATATTAATATTATTAAATTTTTTTTTAATTTTAAGAATTATGATTTTGAAGTATCTCTAAATTTTAATAAATTCAATTCGGAAAAAATGAAAATTTTGAAAGATTAGTAGAGAATTAGAAGAATCTGACAGGATAGGAAATGGCACAAAGCAAAACTTCGAATGTCAATTTCAAAAGTTTTATTTGTAAATTCTTTTCCGCTAACTATTCTAACATGAATAAAATCATGACTATTATGCAAAACACACACAAAATCATTCATATACAAATATTTAAATACAATATATGCGTACTTAAATACATAAATAATTGTTGCAATTTCAATTAAACGTACATTAATATTTATTCGAATAATTAACTAAAGTTACTGCTTAATATAAGAACACTAAAAATATATATAAATTTAAATTAAAAATATTTTAATTGCATATCAATATGACAATATGGCAAAGACAAATATGTATTCAACATAAAAAAAAAGCAATTTTCAGTTTAAGCAATTTTATTATATGCACAACAAAAATTGATCAATTTATATAATTATTTACTAATAATAGACAGTTATTTTTTATCACAAATACAAAGTAGATTTGAGCTTTTGCATTATATGACTTCTTTTTGTTGTAAATAATATACGAACATGTATATATATCTGGCCATCATTTTACATTATTTTTTTGAGATCTTTACTATTAAAAATTAGTATATGTATAGCAAAATAATTCCTCGACAAAATTCAATATATATACCATGATCAAAGTTGTAATAGTAAAACGGTCTCACACAGCCGAAATAACTTGATATGTTAAATATCAGCAAATGTTCCGTATAGGAATAGTACGTATATAAGTGTTGCAGACTTACTAATAATACCCGATAATGGCAGATCCCTGATCATTTTCAACAATAATTTTTAAGTAAAGTGTTTAAAGTTGAGCGAATTCAAATTTTCTCAATTTTGTTCGCTCAAATATGACATCACACGACAGTGAAGACTATACAGAAAATTATATATCAATGATGCTTGAAAATATTTTCACTATTGTGCGCGTATATATATAAACACTTTTTATTTAAAATATATTACATACATTTTAGTATTGGAATTTTCATGTCAAAATGAAAAAATTCGGGGAAACTGCTATTAACGATAAGTCTGGGATATTCTACTTATAAAGAATTCTATATATCTGAGCAACAATTCAATATTAAACTTTGGAAGGACTATACTATTACCTTAAACATCATTTCATTTCTTCAAATTAAATTTAACTTTTTATCAGTACAATATTCAGTCTGAGTAGAAAGATGCAACATTATATATATAGATCAGAGTTACCCTTTGGTCAAATCCATCCCTCGATCTATCGATGAAATCTCTTGTAAATTGATGAATTGCCTACATATTGAATTTAATCTCTAACTCGAAGACCCCAAATACTGGTTCTTCGAATACCGACTGTTGGCCTCGCTACCGAACTATATAGATACTTGTTAATTTCGGGTTCACGGCAAGTAGCTTGTAATGATTTAAGCACTGATTCCGTCATTAGGCCGAAAACATCTAAATACAATAAACACGGCATAGTAGCTAATCTTATATATGCCGATTGCGGGATGCTGTAACAACGGCTCAGTGATAAGTGCTCGAGTTTCGAAAAGTTTAATAAATTATGGACGGTATGCATTGTAAGCATAGCGCAATCACTCAGGTCTAATTCTGTAATATCCGGACATCTTCTTAACAAGTCCTTTACATCTGAAATTTAGAAAAAAATGCATGTTAAAGTCAATAAATAATAAAAATACCAATTACTATACTTACTCTCATCAGTCATTGTCTTTCTACAACCCGCTAAGTTCAAGCGTGTAATGGATTTTGGCAACGTTCTGCAAAGTAACGTTATACACTCGTTATCCAAAGAACACCATGCTATGTTGAGGGCAATTAAGCTGAAACAATCCGATCGTATTAAAATTGAGAACTGCGTAAACATTTATTACATAGAGAAATAGATTAATAATTTTACCATTCAAGTTCCATTAAATCCATAATACATCCAATGTTTATATTCTCGCACATTGTTAAATTCAAAACTTCTAATTCAGTGTTTTGACTAATCGCTCTACAGCAATCCCTATTCACTATACATTTTTCCAGTGACAATTTTTTCAGACATTTACATTTGGATAATAAGACAGCCAAACTCATTGGTGATATAACCGCCATAGACAAATCTAAGAACTGTAATTTACTGATATAAGAATCGCTAAGGACTTGGCTGCCTTCACAAAAGACAGGATCCGCAATTTCCGCCTGTGCCAGTCTTAAAATTTGAACCCCTCGCGGCAATATATGCCCTAATGTACCTTCATTTAAAACTTTACTACCCATATCTAACCTAGTCCATAATGCTTCATCTTGAGCTATTTGGCACCAACGTTTGCATACTAGCATAGAGCGTACCTGCACACAAAATAATTAATACAATTGAGACATGTACATAATTTATTAAATTATATTTAATACCGTGTTACTATTCTTACCAAACATTTCTTAGGTAACCATTTCAATATCATCAAAATTATTTCATCTGATAACTTGTTAAACTTATCCTCGCCATAAACGGAAGGTCTTTTTTTTCTCCTAAACAAGCAAAATTGATCTAAACAAGATTGCTCATTTTTTTCGGCAGAAGTGTTAACCTTTTCCTTGGTAAAGCTCTCTTTTAAATCCCCAAAGTAATCAGCTTCCATTCTTGAAGAATAGCCAGATTCATTCTGTGTACTACCAAATCCAGTTAAATCATCTGTATCACATGAATCTTGTTGAACCCTGTAAAAATAATTGTATACACGTGTGTGTGTGTGTGTGTGTGTGTGAATAATAAACATAATTTAAAACCTCCAGCAATTTTTGTTATCACAAACCTGTCTGAAATTGCAATTTCCAAACTAGAACTTGTATAAACCTCTTCTTGATATTCAAAAATATCAGAATCATCTATTACTGATCTATTATTACTAGCTAAATTCTCCATTAAAATCGTACACTCTTCAGATTGTAGTCTTTTTGTATTTTCGCAATTAGTTACTCCATCTTCTAACATGCTAACTCCCATATCTTCTAGGATTTCAGGTTCAATGAGACTGGCATCTCCAGAATACGGCCATTTTGTACTATTTTCAGAGTGACTGTTGAGAGTATTGGTTAAATTGTTATTATAGCCATTGTCCAAACATAATCGTTTACTGTGAACATATATATGGAAAACTCTTTTATTACAAAAACAATTTAAATACAAATTCATACCAATTCAATTGTAAAGGAACAAATTATATATAAACCTGTTCCACCAGGGTGATGATGAAGAAGATGGATCTTTATTCATTATATATGAACAGATATACAAGTTCTTATTCTCCAAATTGAAATGATATCAAGTTCTTACAATGAACTGTTATAAAACCAGGCAAATACTGTAGAAAAGGATTAGTATTTGATTTACATATACAAGGTATATTAGATATTAATCACAATGCAAAATACTTAATGTTACATACAAATCGCAAAAAGAATAAATTTGTCTTCTTAAATAAAACTAAAAACATTTGTACATAACAGCAATGACAAAATTAAGAGACTCATTTATATATGATGCACGTAAAAAAAGCAAAAGAATATTATTTAAACCAATCCTTGCCAAAGGTCTATAAAAAAAAATATATACATAGTTTTGCTGTTATTTACTATTTTACTTGTTAAGAATACATATTTACTTCATAAATCTCACGAGTGATACAAATGTGTAGCCCAATCTTACATCTGACAAAATCACGAAGATAATTCGTTAGGATTACAATCAAAGTTTCCCGAATCCGAAACTCTCCCAAAATACCACGAACACTGAAATTTATTAACGAAAATACAGGTAGAAACGACCGACAGCCAAAAACGTGGTAATTTCTCAACAGCAAAATCTCGACTATGGATCGCAGTACATTCGAGCGTTCACTGTGAGGCAACAACAAAGCCAGGACAGTCGATCGTAGGATACTTTGAGCGCTATTCAATACTATTCAGAACGTTTCTCGTGACCAGGAAAAAACAACAAAACGCCCCGAGCGTATCTTGGTAACCTTACTTACGAGAGGGCGAGCGAAAGAGCGCGCGCGGGTGTACAGTGTACACCTGCTGTCCTGTTTCCTCCCCCCTTCTCCTCTCACCCAAAAAGCACAGGCAACAGGTAAAAAAGTTGGAGTAGGTATAAGGCCGATCTAGCAGATAACCAAAAGCGATATGACATATAAAGTCTAACCTTTCGGGCAAAGAGGACTCCTGGGATCTCGACGGACGGGGCTTCTCCGATTTTTCGTGTGGTCGTGCGTGCTCGATCACAATGCCGGAACTCATTCTTAGCGAAAACCGCCGCGAGCCAGCCTGGGTATCCTTACAAATCTCCGCAAGATACCAAAATCCACTCGCCAAGGCACACTCCACCAGCTCTGTATCACTGGCAAAACAAATCGCTCCGTAAGCGATCCGTCCCGCGCGCGCGTGATTATCCCGCCGAGCCGGCTCGATGTAACGACGCAGATTGGCCGGCCGTCAAAAGGCGGGAACGCGGCGAGATATCGAAACGGCAGGAACGCGCGCCGCGCATGCGCAACGCGCGACAGCAGCGCCGTCCACCGTGCACCTCGATTTCGCGCCTTTTCCACGTTTCGATTTCGCTACGAGCGTGACCGCGTCATCGCGTTAGCGGCGTCTTGATTTTCGTGCATGCGCGCCGAATTTGGTTTCATCGACAGTCATACGTAGGCCGAAAAGGTAAATAAAGACATGAGACATGAAATAGCTTAAACTGCGTCATTCGTATCTAAATGATGAATGTAGTCAACAAAGATGAGAGAGAGAGAGGGATCGTGAAGACGGCTAGAGTCCGATCGAAGTGTCAGCAGAGATTAAGAGAAAATTTCGATAACTTTGATGTGATTTGATTTCTTTAAAAGTTCAGAATGCAACATTATTATATTATTATAGTTAGATATTTTAATGAAATCTTATTTTTTAAAGAGTACATAAATTTGTCATGATTTCTGAAAATCATACGGGCTCTATCAATTTAATTAAAATAATCAAAATGTGATTTCGGTTGGACTCTAAAGACAGTCGGTTTCCTTCTTCTTCTAATATATTATGATTGGTTAAACAGAAAGAGTTTGAAATTGATCGTCTTCGCGTCTCTCTCATTTTTGTCGATTCAATTTTGCACGAATGACGCAATCCATGCTACACTATGAGGACTATATTTAAATTTCCATCCGAATATCACCCAGATATCCCTCTATTCTTGTTGTTTATCAAATATTAAACAAAAATAATACCCGGGTGATAGCTAGTAAATTTTACCTCTACAATCCATTTTTTACCAATCAACTCTCAATGTCAAAACGCCGATTTGTATATTTTTTATTTTTTTTTTTAAACTTAAAAGAAAATAAAGAGTAAATTAAATCGTGATTAATGTTAACATTAATAGAAATGGATGTTGAGCGTTTAAACCAACTAAGACTTTAATATCCTGATTTATAATAGGTGTGATAGACCTTTAAACTTTTTAACGTGAATTTACTTTAAACTCTATTTTAATTTTACCCAAGCAGAGCAACAAGTCATTGTGATATCAAAATGTCTCCAAAATGATCATTGAAAATCATTTTTTATCATTTCTAATTCATTTTAACGTCATTTTGGCGAACTTGTTGTTCTGCTTGGATAGCATCTTTAAATGGAAACATTACTACTGTACTCGCTACAAAAGACGATTTGACAATTTTTTGCAAGCCCTTTGCATTTCATAGCAAAATTATTTCTCTTCGTATGTCACTTATAATAAAACATTTTTTTTTTTATTATTGAAAAGGTTTAAAAATGAATAAATAATGCTATTATATGATAATCGGAATACGCATTTGAATTTATTATAGGATTATAACTAAATTATTATTATATTACATAAATTATTGTTAAATATTATACTATTCTTCAATAGCGAGTAAAATATGAAACAGCTGGATTCGCGAATATTGATTTCAATTTTATTGTTTGAGGCCTTTCAACTTTCGATCCTCGGCGTAAATTTTCATCTGGAAGCTCACCAGGTCGGACGTTCTCTTGTGAAAGTCAAACCGCGAGTCCTTCGGATGTATCCCCTTGTCGTGCCACCAACCGTAACTGAAAATTGTCATAATTAGCTGTTGGAGCAATAGATATCCGAGAAAATCGGCGTGCGGATTGTTAAGATGCAAGAATTACGTGTGGCTAGTCAATAACGGCAATTGGTACAGGTTCCTCGGCTTCCTATCTTGTTCCGTGGCGAGTCTCTCGAGCGTGTCGCTTACGTCCACATTTCGCACGTCTTCAAGTTCCCTCGAGTAGAATTTCGGCGTGACGAAGTCCGCTGCAATTGATTTGCAACTTCGCGTGCGCATTTATTTCAGATCGTATTACGCTTGGCTCGCAGCTTCGCTTTGCTAAAATCGAGATCGCGATCGCGCCGACACTGCGTCTTTCTTTTCATTCGTGTTTAATAAACTCGGATAGAAAATTGAGCAAGTTCACCATTGAAAAACGATCCACCGCAACTTAATCCTTAACTGATATGGTCCTCTTTTATTATAGGTAAGGTATTGTGGGGTCATCAGCGACGAATTTATTTTACGCTGAAATAAATGTATTATACTAATTGTGAGAGAAAAGTGTTTGGTACTTGTGATAATTGCACGATAAAATAATTATGGTTAGAAGCTTCATTTTTATAGCTTAATATTTTAATGTTAGTAATATTTGTAATAATGTTAGAAAATGATTAAAAATTAGATTTAAATTATAGATATGGTAATATCATTTTTCCTATCGGTGTATAAATTTTGAATTTTTCTTGTAATAATTTTATTGTATTTAGGTATTGCATTTAAAAACAACAGTATTTATTCTAAAAAAATAAATGTTTTAAAAAAAATTTTTTTTTAAAAGAAACTAAAATATTTTTGACCATTGAATAGTTAATGTCTCTAATTTTGAGGATTTTACTCAGCTAATAGCTGAATAAAATTAGTAAGCTGAATTCGTTATAATTCCAAAATATCAGTTAAGGATTAATTTTGCCGCAAGACTTTATGGCAGTCTCGTTAATTTTTAATCGGAAGCTCAAATTTAAAACTAACAAAACTGTACAGAGATTATGAATATATTCTCGTTTTTGACACACGTGTCATTCTTCAAAATCTATATTGGTCTCAAATCCATCGGATATTCCTTTCGTTGTTGTTCTTATCAGAGTAAAATTTAAAAAAATTCTCTGCCATTGACGAGATATATATTATATATATTAACCCGGAAATAATCATATGGAATTATTTTTACATTTCAGCAACGAAAAAATAAAGTTCATTCACAGAATTTTTCTTTACTGATCGAGAATCTAAATTATCTTTTTAAATTAATTTACTTTTTTTTTAAATATTGAATAAATCTACACACATAATGATTTCAAATACTGACAAATTGCAGAACAATCCGTAATATATACAATATGTAAATATATGTAATTAATAATGGATTTTTAATTGGGTATAAAAGTCAGCCTATTTTTTGAAATAATTTATATACCGTTTGTTTTTGATATGCAAGCGTCGGATTTCCCGATTTGCTGATTTCGCGAGAAACACAGCTTAAACGGCGGTCTTTCCGACTTCTTCGACGTTACCGGTCTCGAGTCGTACGAATCCGTTTGCTGCTCGGACATATTTTCGCAACACAATTTTTTCCCGACCGCTCGCTCCGTTGTCGTCGAGAATACTCAACTAAGTCTCGTCTCCACCTTACGTTGAGTGCCGCGTGCGTGTCTCCGCGACGTGCATGAACCACCGTATTTGATCAATATTGTCTGCGAAATACGCTGTCAGAAATAAGCAAACGGGGGTGACATTCTCCTCCCGAAAATATCACGTTTGCAAGGACAACAATTTAGACGTCATTCCGTCATATTGCTATTTTAGATGGCCGAGAAATCTCCTCCTTTCCTCCTGAAGAAGATATCTAATAGCGAATTCGGTTGGACACAATTAATGCATATTAAAGTTGTTGTGCACTGATTTGATCTGAGTGTAAAAATAAAATGTAAATATTTTTCGCAATAAAATTATTAAAAAATTTTAAATTCTCATTAGCAATGTAAAGAAAGAATAACAGAAATATATTGATAAAAAAAATTTTATATTATAATATTTTTAAGAATTTTATATATTTCATATATTTCGAATTTATGAAGATTTCCAAAAAAATATCTTAAGCCTTTTCAGAGGTTTTCTTCAGAATTTATAGAATGAGAAATCTTAGAAATCTTAAAATATTTCACATAAATATATATTAATTTTAGAAAAGATGTAGATTTTTTTTAGTATTTTTGAAAATTGTTCCAATAAAATTATTCGTATAAAATCTAAAAGGGTTTCTAAAAAATTATAAAAAATATACAGAAATTTTGAAAAATTCTGAAATTTACGTAAAAATTCTGAAAAATTATTTATATGAAGAATTTAAAAAAATATCTTACCATAATATAAATAAAAAAATGAAATTTTTATGAAAACCATTGGAGCGGAAAATGAAAGAAGCGTTTTACGAGATATAAACGCTTTTCTATGTTTCGTTGTTCCAATCTTCCTAGAAGTTTCGTTTGGGTTTCTGTTATTTTCCCTTTACATTCGACTTATACGCTCCGATTTTTATTAGAATTTTTGTTAGAAATTGGAAGAGAATGGGTTTTGTAGAACAAAAAAAAATCGAGACAATTTTTCCATGTTTGCCTCTCTCTTTATTTTCGACTTTTTCTCCCCGTTAATAATTCATATATTCGAATAAAGTATATGTACGGCTAATAGTAATTATAATCTGGCGCAACGATATTACAAATCTCTCTCGACTCTGACTTTCTCTTCGTTTTCCTCTTGTCGACTTTGGCGCTTCTCTATCTCCTTATCGCCATTAATATCCATGCTATCTCTTCACGCTTGTCTGCCGATTAAATAATTACATATCAACGAATGAAGCTCCCGAGAGAAGAAGCGGCCGTTTTCGGAAAGCGAAAATATTCCTCTCCCTTTTATTCTCTTTCCCGACGAAGAATTTCTCGATCTCACTCACACATACACACGCAATTCTTCTTCTCTTTTTTTTTCCTCTTCCAGTCTATCTTATATTTGTCGCGTTCGTTACCTCGTGTAATACAAAAAGCATCCCCTCTCAGAATTCTCAATTATACTCGCATTAATTATAGGACGTTTACAACCTTCGTTACATTCTTACCGCGCGATCTATATACGTGTCTAAACAAACTTACTTCACAGCTTCGTAATGCTTCGTAAAATTCTTAGAAATCAGCCATTGACATAACGTTAACACTATCTCGATTTGTCCTCGTTATCTTCGAGTCTCATAATTACTTTTCAGATTTTTGCATTTCTATCCTCAAAAAGTCGGAATCAATCATCATCTTGTCATCATTTTATAGCGACAATATATTAATACTTTGATTGCCAAGCTAATTTCGGCATTGAGCTTAATAAATCTAGTGTATCATTTTAACACTTTACTGTTTTCTTCATTTTAATTAATTATAATTTATATTATTTCTTTAATATTTTAAATATATTCACATATAAATATAGATCATTATATACAGTGGTCCATATTTTTTACGAATGAGTATATTTAATAAAATTATTCTTAACTTTTAAAGGACGATAAGGATCTATTTTTAAAATGTTAGTTTTTTCTTGCGTAAGATTTGACATAATTCATTATTTCTCGCTCCAAAACATGATATTGTTTCAGTGCCATTATAGTGGCTTTTTTCTCATCTTGTAAAAATTAATCGGATAAACAAAATGATGATCAAGATAAATAAAATCATTATCTTATTCATCCGATTAAGAATAATGTTATTAAATTAAATTAAATACTATATACATATATATTTTTTTTTTCTTGGCTCCAAGAATAAATTACGATCCTCTGAAAATTGCCAATAAGAGTTACAACAATTATTAATATCAAAATATTAATAAATTACGTAATGTTCGCAAAGATGAATGATACAAACAATTTAAACATGCAGACGTTTCGTCTAATTCGAATCAATACGATGAGTCCTCTTCAATACGATGAGAAACAATACAAAAAGTAAAATGTTCCCATCCCTACAGCTCCTGCAACGCAAATTGAATAAAACTTCTGATTATGCAAAATCCAAAGACATTGCGTTAAGAGTAATCCGGAATTCAGCAAAGTTAAACTACAAATATACAATAATTCATCTGGTGTAATAATCATATCATCGTGAAAATACGTTTGCATGTTTAAATTATTTGTGTGTATCCATGCTGTACGAGCACTGTGTGATTTATTAATAATTTAATATTTCACCACTAATAACAGCTGTGGCTCTTACTGGCAATTTTTATTGGTTTGATTTTATTAAGTATTTAAGACATTAAAGGAGACAATGCAAATTATTATTAATTAAAACATAAAGAATATTTGTGAATGACGATCATCCATAAATGATGAAAACTCTTGCGAATTTTATGTGTCACCTGAACATAGATGATATGGCAATCAAAGTTAAGTCAATATTATGATGTTGTATTCCTTGCCTCAGCTATTATGAACTATTAATTAATTCGGACATACCGACATAGCGTACCGTCCGCGCCGTTGCGTAATCGAAAAATACATAGAGGATCACCGCGATGACATACTCTTTCCCCCCCTCTCTTTCTCACTCACTCTCTCTCTCTCTCTCTCTCTCTCTCTCTCTCCTTCCATAGAAATAGTTTCAAGATTTAACAAGGGATTTCTCGTTAATCCCGAAACCGCATAACTGCAATTAAACATCGCAAAAGGTCAACAAGGTAGATTCTTATATGATTCCGGACTTGATTGATGTACACGCACGCAAACATACAGGACGAATTTTCTTAAAACTCTATCACGAAAAGAACGTCCTCGAGTCCTTATAGAAAAATACTTGGGGCCTTCTCGAAGATACCGAATTTTCAGCCTCTCGATTGTTTTGCTACGCAGAAAGCATGTTGCAATCGGCAGTGCGTTCGTCGGAATCGAAAAGCGAATTTACCTTCGCCGATTTCCGCTTCTTTTTTCGTCCCTGTGATTTATTATCCATTTGTATTCAATTCGCGCTTAGTATCCTGATATAATATTTTTCTATAGGATGTGACCGGTTCGAAAGTATCCTTTAGCTTTCAATGGAGCTTTTCGTTGTCGAATGAGGCTAGTAAAACACGATCGCGATTCTCCGTTCGAAGGCGGAAGAGATAAATCGATATCGTTTTCTTTTGTAGAGTAAACGATTCGACGCTTCAGTAACTACAAATCGATCAGATGTACTGTCGAATCTCCGTATTCTTAGTAAATTTCGCAATCTTCCTATTTTTAATTTCTCTTCTAGTTATATTCTAATAATTTTAAACGCGAAACAAAATAGTACATTAATTCGGAATGAGAAAGTGAATGAAAGATAAGATAAATATCGTGGAGAAATCGAAGAGTACAAGAGAAAAAAAATTAAGTTTGTGGAAATTCGATTGTTTAACACTTTAATCCTTGGAGGGCCGCAAGATTTTTTTTAATCACAAAATTACACGTATTTAACAATATTATTAGTAATTACACGTATTTAATAATATTATTATATGAATAGTATCCATAAAGATCGACAGCGAATTAAAATTTCCATTACTGTAATAAATAAACAAACGAGCTAAGCAAAATTCTAACGCTCATAGATAATTATATATTTTCTCGTATAAAATAAATATTAATTAAATATTAAACAATATTTCCTAATTTCTATATATTTAAGATATAATAGGATGCAAAATATAACACTGATTTCGTGATGTCAGAACGTCTCGTAAACTGTAAAAGTTAAGAATAGCGGCGAAGATTAGAATATAGAGGTCCAACTGTATTTCTGTCGATTGCCTTCGTCGACTGCATAGAGTGCTTCATAAAAAGTGTAAAAAGCATCGACGATCGCTCAGGGTAGAAATACTCTGGTGAAAATTTTTCTTAAAATTCTTCATATAAAATTGTTTAGAATTTTTAAGTAAATTTCAGAATTTCTATATAATTGTATAACTTTCTAAAAAATTTCTCAAATTTTTTTTTATATGAATATGGAATACTTCTTACAAGAAATTGTCTACATCTAGTAAAATTCTTCATATATGTGAATTCTGAAATATCCTAGGACTTCTAAGATTTCATATTCTCTCTATAATTTTTTTAAAAATTTATAAAATCTAAAAAAGTTGTTTCAGAAACCTTTATAAATTGAAAATATGACAAATTCTCAAAAGTATTATGAGATATTATGAGAATTTTTTTTCACCAGAGTAAACTTGAAAAGAAAGAGCGTAACCGTTTGGAAGATATGTCCGTTTTTGACAACACGACAAACCGTCAAGGTTTCTTACACTCGTTAGGAGGCTACATCCCGCCTGTACTTTTTTTACCACGAAGGTTAAAGGGCTGCAATTTGTACTCGTTTATACGCTTGTGGCCGACTTGATCGTCGACGCGCAAGGACGGCGTGCATGTATGAAATTAAATAACGATCTCGTGATGATCTCCTGGTTCCCCGGAACCGCGGCCATGTCGAAATGCACATCCCATGCCGGAAATATCGTCGAGAAGCGCTTTAAGATCAACGCGAGCGTAACAACCCTCTGACGTCTCCCGCATTCTTTCGACGAACCCCTAG